AAACAATGAAATTTATTTTTTCGGATCCCCCTGACCTTCCTCTATACACCATCGGTCATGAAGTAAGGAAACACACTCTGTAACTAGGGATGCAGATTAACGAGTACAAATTTAGGAAAACAACTTGTGTTTTTCTGTATGTGTTATTTCATTTATTGTCAGCAGATAACAGATGTATGGTATAGATGCTGAGTATTTTATCTTCATGTTATTTTAATTACATACTCATGATGAGTGAAATGTAATCATTGCAGAAGTCCATCTTTTTTGAATAGGAAGATAATTTTATTTTCATGATTATCTTCCAGCTGACTCTGGGATTGATATAGCAGATAGGGTTAGAATCTCTTCACTAATTACTCCAGGGTTTGATAATAAAATTCCAAGCAAAGAGAAACATATCATAAACCTTTGGAATTGGAAGGACACTGTAGAGATATTCCCAGCCCAAACTTTTCATTTTATAAATAAAGAATGAGAAATTCCAACAGTTAGCTCAGCTCCAGTCTCTTAAACCGTCAGTGCCTACAACATTTTATGTTGTTATAGACAAGGAATTTACAACACAAGCCAATTGCACTGATACACAAAGCCCAATCGCAAACACCTATTTTAGCTGGAGGTTGCAAAAAGATACAGTTAATTTCCAAAGTTATTTGAGCTATAACTTCAAATTTTTCTAATGAAATATTTCACCTAAGCAACTAACCAAAAGATGTTCTAAAATTCATGATGAACTGTGTAGTCAATGAATTTAAATAAGATGGAAACCTAAGATAAGTTAGGGAATTTTATTTTAATTCTAGGTTTTATAAAACCATTTAATCTTTTTTTTAATTGGCAGTGGGTTGATTATGCTTGGAGAGCTTTTAGGAAGCTATGAAAATGGTTGTCAACTGAAACGCATTTCAGTAGTTTTAATTAAAATCATTGACAGAAAGAAGAGAGGCAAACCAATTTTAACTACATTTCATGTATCACTATGTCTACAAAATAATGCTCTGAGAATGGGTACAGCCGGAATGTGCACATAAAATATTTTATGGAGAGTAAAAACAGGGCCTCTAAAAATTGAGAATGGACTCAGAAAAAAAAGGCAAAGACAAAAATTTACATCTTAATACTTTCGCATCTGTATTTTTTCATTGCTGGTATTATGAAAAACACTGGCTTATTATCTTCAACTGTGTTTTACATTGCTCACGTGTCTGGCAATAGTTTTAAAACTCTCAGCAGGACATAAATGATACAGAATAGATATATACACACCACACATAATGATCACTTTCTCTATTTGGGCATCCACGAATACAGACACAGACATACATAGCCTAAACAGGTACTCTCATGTTCAAGGAGATAGGAATTCCAAGTATATTAATTTTATCTTTGATATATTTGTGCTCATAGTTCAGAATAGTGCAAAAATGGTCATTAGGAATATAGCAAGATACTCATGAAATGGGAGTAAGATCAATGGACTTATATGAGTCATAGGATGTTCCTTATTCCTGGCAAAGCAGATACTTTACTCTGTTAAAAAAAAAATCACAAAACTCCAGAACTTCTGGACTTATCTAGACAGATACATTCTTACATCTAAACATCTGATGCTTAGTTTAATATAAATTAGCATAATAACTTATAAACCATATGAATAATACACCTTTTCCACCGTATATATGATTTCAGGTAAATGGGGGAAAACAATGTTTCAAATCACTTAGAATATATTTAACTTTAAAGTAATAACTATCAATATAATGAATTTTTGATTATCATATTTCCGAGTTATAATCAAGATAAAAATGTGTTTGTCAGGGTCACAGCATTTAGAATCAAAACTGTAAATCTCAACAAGCATATTTATAAAAAAAATTTCGAGGAAACAGGGTCATTTGAATATTTCATTAAGTCAAATCCATGGTGTACTTCATTTGCTCTCTTTTCTCATTTTAAGTATACACACAGCAATGATTATTATTCTAACTTTTAGAAACAGATAGTGTCTCTATTTTCTTAGGCTGCTTTCTCATCAACTTAAGCATCCTCAGCTTGTGTCCCGGTATTATTTAAGTAAAACCTGACTTTGAAATGCAAGACAACAGCCCTCACAGTTGTTTTTTCTTTCCGCATTTTGATTTCTTGCCATGCTACTGTTTCATAAGGTCAAAATCCCTCAAAGCTTTGACCTAAATAGCAGTCAAAATTTCGGGCACACAATGTTCTTTATATGAGCACAATTAGATGCCTTGTCATCTCAGTCAGAATTCCTATATCCGACTGGATTTTAACCATTACTGGAATTTTGCTCATTCTTTGTAGTGCCAATCAGCTGAAAGGATTTTTAAAAGGTTGAGTATCTCCAGTCATTAATGGGGCTGATGTTTTCCCCTCACAAACATGCTGGAAGATCTGCATACAAGTGAGCTTTGTCCTTCAAAGTCACAACTTTACCCTCAACACACTTGGAACTCTTCTTACGTAATTTTGATCAAGTTCAATGTGACATTCAAGAAAGAAAACCAATGGCTTTTTTAGTTAAAAGACACTATTTCTTTGCTCACCCTTCTCCTTTTAACTCCTCTTTCCCTGGATAGCTTCATTTTTATCTTCCTTAGAGCTTCCAATCCCCCAGCAATGGTTTGCATTGGGCCTATGATAGTGCATTTTTGGGAAAAGCCGATGAGCAAAACTGCAATGTGAGCTTAAGAAAAGCTCAAGCTTAGTGTTCTAAGAAGTTTAACTTGCCTAGTGTGAGTGCATTTATCTGCTTTTGGCCTGCTATAGGAGTGTACAACTGTTAGAAAATACAAATAAATTACAGTGAACCACAACAATCCCTCCAGACTCACTAAACAGTATGCCTTGCATATTAATGCTACCGTTTTCCCCCTCAGAATGTTTTCACATCTATGGCTTTATTTTATCATCACATTCCATTGAGCAAGTATAGCAGACACATGTGGGAATGTATGTTGGACATCATTTTCTAAAAAAACTATACAAACCAGAGCTAGTACTGTTTTATTACAGATTTTGAAAAGTTCAAAGAGGTGAAGTATCTTGACCTAGATGGTGGTCTCAGAAATTCTAGGCAATTAACAATAAGGCTTGGTTTGTTTTTGTTTTTCTAACTAACATAATCAAATCAGTAACATTTTGATGAGACATATGTACAATACAACCCTCTTCAGAAAATAGTCTCATTTGAAGGGAATATGTATCTTTAAACACTGCATTGCTAGGAACGTCTCCATTGTCCCCATTGCGGGCAGTATTGTGGACCAACAGAATGTGGGAAGTGGCACATGTGCCATCATCTTGCTAATTCAATGTGTTGTTGTTTTTTTAAATATGGTCAGCAGACTATATCAAAGACCACATGCAAATTACTGGCCTACTAAATTAGATTTTCTGAGCACAGACAGAGTCTAGAACTATGCATTTTAATCAGTTTCCCAGGTGATTATTCTACTGACTCAAGCTTGAAAACCACTGCATATAATGAAAGTGAAGGAGAACATGACCTATTGTTAAATTATATCTCCATAAATATCTTATTTTAAAGGGATGCATTTCAAAACAACTTTCTTTATCAAATATTGGAAATTCTTCTTAACATGGTAATTAATCAATATCAAGCAACAACAATCTATAAGTATCATTATTGGCTTAAAAAGTACAAAATCGAATGCTTCATGTATTTATTGCACAGATGTCAATGGTATTGCAAAGTAGCCATGGCCAGATCACATATAATAAGAGGAATCATGATCTAGTATGAAAATAACTATTAGATCAAGTGACTACTAAAAATATATTCAATGGAAGACAAATGGAATTTTTATTATTGCCCAGTGATTGCATGGGGAATGACTGTAATTTAAACTCCTTCAAATTTTAAATATGAATTTGATTTTAAAAGAAAGCTTGAACTGTGATTGAGCATCATATATGTTGACTGATCACATTTTCTTAAATTGTGTTTCTGGAAGCAATACTTCAACCTTCATTTCTTCATCTTTCAATGAACATTTCCTAAGTGCTACTTATCAGATGTCAAGTCTCAAGAACACAAATTCCCTGCACTGTCTCACAACAGAGGAGGTACAGGCCGAAAGCTTTTGAATGTGCTCATTGCTGTCATAGAGATGCATGTGTTGAGCTACGAATGGTGACCAATGAGTAAAAGTTAGCCTCTATAATGGAAAACAAGATGGCAGAATATGTTACATACTATTATAAACAGTGTTAATATTTTGAATGACTACCCATGATTCCACCATCTAACATCATCTGATAATAAAAGCTGCTACTTGAAAAATATTTGATTTTCTTGAATTTACCAAAACTTTTAAAATTCTTAACATAAAAGCTCGTTATGACATGAAAGTATAACTTAGATGTTTTCCTAATCTACAGCCTATATGTGTTAGTGTAACTGAGCCACACACATTCATGATTTTATGAATCAACAATCTCTGGTAGGAAGAAATCCAATGATTAGATTCTCACTTACACTAACAGATAGAGGTCTTTAGAGAAATTAAAGGACCTGGGTGGGCCCTAGCCAGTATCTATCACTTACTTTCCTTGGACAATTCACTATTCCTCCTTATGTTTCACTTTTCTCATATGTGAAATGCAGGGGTCAACTAATGGCCTTCATGGTTCAGGGAATCTATGACTTGGCGGTACATTGTGATGACACAGCTCCCTAACAGTCTTTCTAATGATTCTAAATTACTCGGATCCCCATCCCACTGAAGTGGGTGGGCTTACACTCTAAGGCATAACTACTTAGTTGATTAGCACTCCTCCACCTCTCCCACATTCTCCAATATCAAAACCACCAAGAGAGCCATATTTTTATTCCACTGAATACTTGTCAAGGATTAACCCAGTGGCATCCTTTGTAGGAATATAGTATTGCTCTCTTAACGCAGATTTCAAAACTCTCAAGGAGAATTCACTGTAGGATAATAAGTATCACTAACCTGTGATGAGCTCTTTTCAAGTTTTTGGACTAAGTTATCCCAACGCTGGGCAAAGTTGTCCAGCCATGCTTCCATCTTTTGGGTTACTGATGTATTTTTCAGTGTTGAAAGAAGATCCTGGTTCAGTGAGCAGAGTTTGTCCATGGTTTGCTTTTTCTTTTCTAGTTCTGTTTTTAGAACCTGTTAAATCAAGAAAGAACACAGAATAAGCCAATGTTACATTTTATAAACCACTGCAGTTCAATTTGCTTTTGCATGCATTTTCTCATTGGAATAGATAAGAAAAGATAGCAATCGTGGCTGTAATGGACCAAGAGCCCATAAAAATATAAGTACAAAATTAAAATCCTAATAATCTTCCCAAGAAGCTTGAAGAGGAAAAATAAAAGTCAGATATGGAATAAACACCTAGTAGAGGAACTTAAAAGCTACCTTAAAATATTTGAAGAACTGCCAAGTAAAAAAGTAGCCTTGCTTCAAAAGGCAAAACAGAGATCAACATATGGAAATTACTTTTTAACATTTAACATAACAGTAGAAGGCAGGGCTCTTGAATATTAGTACAAATTTCCTCTTAATTCCTAATAGAATTCAAGTGGAATACCACGTGCCAGGAGTACCAAAGACAAGATGGTTCATTGAGAAGAAGAGAATGGTTAAGAAACCTTCCGTTCTGAAATGCTGTATGTGTATCAATTTCTAATGTTCCTTATTTCCACAATTTTTGCATTCTTTTCATTATTTGCATATAAAAACCTTGTTATGAAGTTTACTCACTTTCAAATTTTTTATCATCTGTTATTCAATTATATTTGGCTAACTGAGTAATTATATTCTAAAACTAATTTTAGAGTCCGTTAAGTAATCGAATCAAGTAACTGAGTATAAGACAAATCCTTTGGAATCACTTTGCATGTTTCGTAAATGCCGTGCTTGTTTTACGAAGTAATTTTTATACCATTCTTATTTCCGAAGTTCCTGTAAGTTATGGAGGGTTACACATGCCCTTTGGTTAATATGGAATGAATACACAAAGTGGCTTGTGCGAAATCAGCAGATCAAGGGGGCTTATGCCTTCACTTTATCCATTAAGGTCGCCCTGTGCTTTGGGCAATCCAATTTCCAACTCCCAAATACGAGTCCCTGACTTAACTTATAAACACAGAACAAGAGGAAAGAAAGGAGAAAATTATTTTGCAGCCCCATTACAGTCCCCTAATTTTGGCAGCAGCAAGTACCATGAACATAAACTAAGCTGTGAGACCTGTCGTTCCAAAACAAATGCAAATTTATTTAAGAACAGCTAAAGAAACTGTTGGCATATGGCAAAGAAACTGTCATGAAAGAGATGCACCAGTTGCTCATGAACTGAGGTGTCATAGACGCAGAAATCAATACACTCCCTTGCAAAGGACACTTTATGTCTCCTTCAATTAGGAATAAAAACCAGTTTTGAAGTTCATTTCTAATTTATCTTAACAGTTAAGTTTTTTCACTCTTTTTCTAAGTTTGAAAGAATGTAATAGACCAAAATATGAGTTAATATATACAAGTTGAAATCATATCAGAAAAAAAAAACTCTCAGTATGGGAATTTAGTAACAGACAGGTTTTGTACATTGAGTTTTGTTTGTTTGTTTAATTCACATGTTAGCTTTCCATTAAGTTTAAGTGCGTACTTGGACTACTAGTAAACGTACAGTTTATGGTACCTGCCTAGAGCTGGGACCCACATCTGAATTTCAACATAGACTTCTCAAATTCTTTATGGTGTTTTATTTTCCATTTTTGTCTTTATTAACATTTGGCATGCATTTATTTTGTTGTACACCATCTCAAGTTCTTTTTCGGAAAAGGCATGACAGAGATAATATACATTTAAAATAGGAAGATGTAAATACAATCCTGTTTGGCTTACTTACTCAAAGCTTAAGGAACTATTTTAAATAGCTATATGAGTAAGGCTAACGGGTGTATCCATTATTTAAACTAAATGTGTGATAATTTGGAAATATTTCAGAACAAGGGTTGAGAGTTACATTTAAAGAAGAGGAAAACATTTGCACTGGAAATTTAAGGGTAACCTCATGTTACCTAAACAGATTTTCTTAGATGATCGATTAAACTAACCTGGTATCCAAAGAGATTTAGTGGCAAATGAAACTAAGCCTCCTGTGTTAACGTTAAACCAAATGAAGAAGCATTTGGCGAGCATTACAAAAATAAAGGGGCAAGTCTCCATTAAATACTATTAGGAAAAATGCACTCATGGTACATTAAAAACAGTGTTATTATGAAATTGTGGAATTACTAAATCAATATGTTTTTACCTAAATCTATGACAAAAACACTGTACTCACAAAAGCTTCTACCGAGTAAATGCTAGATCTGTGTGTTTTTTGAAATGATGATGGCAAGTTAGTTGTTCTGCCTCAATTTCCTTCCTCTTGTTTGCGCTGGATCTGTTCTCCCCCCGCAATCGTCCTGTTCCTGAACGACTCCCCTACTATAACCAACAGGCGGAGAAGACAGGAAATCCATGGTCTTGCCAGAACCATCGAATCACAGTAATGAATGACCTTATTCCATCTATCCTTGGCTATCAATTCTTCTCAGCGTGGATTTTATGTATGCATATTAAATAACTCTGATTGAATTGCCACTAATCACTAGAGTATAAAAATGATGTCTTTCTGCCTATCAAACCCTGATCATAGGCTTTTGAGTGCCACAGAACCACAGAGCTCTATAAAGCTCAGGATGCAAAATGAAGTTCAAGAAAACTTGTACGAGGCAGAGGTCAGCTCTGATCTTAAAAGAAGAAATACCTATGTTTCATTTTCATTGAAGCCAGGCACCTGTGCCTACCTCCAAGGTAGGCAGGAAGGTACGGTCAATAAATCAGATTGGGCCAGTAGCAGAGACGGGCCAGAGACGGAAAAGCTGCTCAAGAAGACAGAATATACTTGTACATGTTCTATCTGGTCAAGGTTAGATGACAGGAAGTGAACGAAAGAATGTACCCTTACAAAAGACCCAGGAAATCTCCACCCTATTCTCATCTGAAATATTCTTCCAAGAGTAACGCCAAGGCAATGTCTCTTACACTGGCAAAATCGGATCCTGTACCTACTTTATGTGTAGTTACTTGTCTATATGCGACAAGTAAGTATTCCAATTCATTCTAATCAGCTGTTGCTACACTTAGGTAGGCTGATCCACTGTGGGGGTTCTCAGCTTGAGGGGACATCAGGATCTCCTGGAGGGCTTGTTGAAATGCAGATGGCTGAGCCCCACTTCCAGAGTTTTCTGAGTCTATAGGTCTGGGGGGCGGCCTAAGAATTTGCACTTCTAACAAGTTCCCAGGTGATGCTGCTGCTGCTGGATGGATTCTTTGAGGAGCCCAGCAGTTGAGGTCAAGGTAGGAAGTCCTGGTAAAACGGCACCGTCAGTGGGGACAGTACTGAGCTTCTTTAAGCATACCGGCTCTGCCGTTGGAGCCCACAGCCACCTGCTAGTGTCTTCAATTCCACGGACCTCCTGTAGCCCCTCCACATCATGCTCTCTCTGATCACCAAGCTCTCCAGAGTTGTCCTTCCCCAGCAAGCACCACCTTCTCAGCATCTTCCACACTTCCCCGGAAAGCTCCCTCTTGGAGATATGGGCCTTTCCACGATAGTCTACATGAGTCTGTAAGTCTCAACAGTTCCCCTCATCAGAGACAGTTTCTTCTTTGCTCCTTTTCTTTTCTTATTTTTTTTGGTAAATTTTATTGGGGAACAGTGTGTTTTTCCAGGACCCATCAGCTCCAAGTCAAGTAGTTGTTTCAATCTAGTTGTGGAGGGCGCATCTCAATGGCCCATGCAGGGATCGAACCAGCAACCTTGGTGTTATTAGCACTGTGCCCTGCGCTCTAACCACCTGAGCCAACTGGCCATCCCTCTCCTTTTCTTTTTATCCCTCACAACAAATGAAAATTCAACTTCGATCCTAAAAACTAACAGACCTACATGATGTGGATCCAACTACAGATCCAGAGGAAATGAAATACTTGACTCCTCATCTCCCACCTCAAAGAAAAAGTAGAGGAAAATCCCATGGGTTATTAGTGATGATATTTCAAAACAAATTACACTGATTGTAAATAAAAGAGAGTTTTAGGGCACTGTATCTATACCTAGGTGTGTAGTAGGAACTGGCGACAGATGGTACCTGTTTTGGGTCTCAGATTGTGACATATTTTAATGAACATTAAATTCTTACTCACTGCCTGAGTCAGCAGGGGAATTTTACCTCAAATTCTAGACCAGCTGTCAGGTTTTGTTAATTGGCTTAAACTATCAAACGGTAAGCCTTATCCATAACATATTTTCACTTTGTTCACAAGTAAGGTGACATAATTTGAATTTTAATCATATTGGAAAATTATTGAGACTTTGCGAAGAGAGCATTTTCATGGCCCTGATGCTCCTAAAGTCTTTTACACACAAAAACGTCAACATAGTGGCTGGCATACGATTGCTCGAAATGACAGTTCTCGATTACAGTTATTTTTTGTCAAGGAATCAAGTGCTATGAGGAGGTTTGAAATAGCAGAGAAGGCCTGGGCCTCAGTCTAGATGTCTTGGTGCTCATTTCAACTCTGCTACTAATGTTCTATGACACCTCATATAAATGTCATGTGTTTTTCTCCTGACCCTGAACTTCCTCTTCTGAAATAACCTTGCATCTCTCCTCCTCTCCACATCCAATGCTACTTAGTTCAGTGGTTCTAATTTGTCTCTTTACTACCAAAAGTCTCACTACCAAAGAGTATTCCCCAAATGCAAATGTGATTGTTATCGAACCCTCAATTGCTCCTCATCCGCTACAGAACAAAACTACAAATATATCACTGGTATTTTTACTGATATTTTTGCATTCTGTTGATTCATACACAGGTTACTTTTCAGAAACCTGTCTTGAGTCATCCCTCAAGAAAGCATATATTCTTTGAGGAATGATTTCTTATCAATAACAAGCTAGTCTGTAATAACCAGTAATACATAAGTGAATCTATTTAAATTAAAAGCCTAAAGATTAGTAAGTATGGAACAAAAATATATGTACAAATAAATATTTGTAAAATGGTACAGATTCAATGGGGAAAATATTTAAGATTAGCTTTAAGTAAATAATTTAATTATTATGAAGTGTAATACATAATATCAACACAGATATAAATAGATTCACTTAGGTAAAATTATGAAACATTATTTACAATAGACCTTTGTTTTATATTAGAGTTGACATCAAGTTAGCATTTAATAAAATTGATCAAAAATCAAAAAGAAATCCTAATTAGGCAATATTTTACTTGGAAAATGAAGCTTAATATTAGATTGGCCTCTCTTTTCTTAAAAAATATTAAGATTCACAGTGAAGAAGCTTTAGAGATCTTTCTCAATCCTGCAAGGTTCAACTCAAATTGGAATATCTCAGTGAAGCCTTCCCTGATGGCCTTTGTACTGCCAAAGCTCGCTCACTTCTCAAAACGCAAACGCTTATAATCAGTGCCATTTGGTTTGCTTTAACGTTTTTTTCTTGCTTCCTAAACTAGGGTATAAGCCCCTTAAATGTGAGAATATTCATCTCCTGTACTTCTCATATTTCTCAGAGAATCTACTTAAGTCTATTACTTTAGAACTCCACTTTTGAGAACTTCATGGAATAGTCACATGTGCTTCTTAGTGTTAGTTAGGCATTTTTATTTTAATTGAAGTCTTATTCCAGGTATGCTATACGTATTCAAGAGTACAATTTTGTTTGAAAAACCAAAGATGAAAATCTACTTATGTCTTATGGAATTAATGTTTGTATCCCTCCAAAAGTCATATGTTGAAGGCCTAACTTAGCCCCCATTGTGGTAATATTATGAGGTGGGGCTTTGGGAAAGTAATTAGGCTTAGTTGAGATTATGAGGGTAGAGCACCCATTATGGGGTTAGTGCCCTTTTAAGAAGAGGAAGAGACACCCCCATTTCCACCATGTGAAGATACAGCAAGAAGGTACTGTCTGGAAGCCAGAAAAAAGGCCTCACCAAGCACCAAATCTGCCAGCACCTTGATCTTACATTTCCCAGCATCCAGAACCATGAGAAATAAATGTCTATCATTTAAGTCACCCAGTCTATGGTATTTTGCTATAGTAGCCTGAGCTAAGACACTCCAGCCCTCCCTATCTTAATTAAGAAAAGTAACAATTAGATATAATTAAATAGACTGATCTAAGCAAGAACAATGAACATTTGGTTTAAGATTTGAAAGAACAGAAAGACAAAATAATGGTATTCATATAGACTACTGGATTTAAAAAGAAAAAACTATAGAAAGCTAAAATAATACATACAGCCAGTTTTTGAAGACTTGATAACATTTCACTTTGATCTTTAAAGCCACTTGTGTGAATCTTGCTTACTGCATCTTCTTTTTCTGAAAGCCATGTACTAAAAAGGCACTGAAAGAAATAAAATAAATCCCAAAGTGAAAATAAATAATACAGTAGATCACATTTTTTCATTTAATTTAACATCTCGCCATGTCTTTCACTGATACAATTTCTCCCACATGACTCACCTGTTCTTCAGTAAAACGTTGCCATTTTAGGAGGATATCTTGTAAAAGAACCCAGCGGTCTTCGGTCCACTTACAGATGTTTGCCCATCGGTCTCCCAGTACCTGGGGAAGGGACAACCCACCACAATATCAGCAAACAATTAATGGTTAACTGAATTCCATTAAAAATGGCAGGAATGATTTGAGAAAGTATCTAATTTGGAGCCTCCTGGGTATCCTAGTTGTAAAGGACATCCTTCCTGCTTATAATTAGATAAGTGCTGCTCCTTTCTCTTGTCTTAAGATGACAAATACCATATGATCTCACTTATACGTGGAATCTAAAGAACAGAAAAGATGAGCAAACAAAACAGAAACAGTCTCATAGGTACAGAGAACAAACTGATGGTTGCTGGATGGGAGGGGGGTAGGGATGGGGAAGAAGGTGAAGGGATTAGAAAGTACCAATAAGTAGTCACAAAACAGTCACAGGGATGTAAAATACAGTATGGGGAATATAGTCAATAATGTTGTAAAGATTATGTAGCATACCAGATGAGAATTAGACTTATCAGGGTGATCACTTCATAGACTGTGTAGATGCCTGACCACTGCACTGTACACCTGAAGCTGGTGTAGAATAATATTGAAGGTCAACCATATATACATATATACATATATATATATATATATATATATATATATGTATGGTCATGGGATTATAGCATAGGGAATATAGCCAATGGTATAGTAACAGTTATATACGATGTCAGAGGGGTAGTAGACTTGCGGGGGGTTATCACTTTGTGAGGGGTGTAAATGTCTAATCATTATGTTGGTTTTGTACACCTGAAACTCATAATTTAAAAAAAAAACTAAAAAAAAAAAAAAGCAAAGACACTTACAAGAAGTTTGAAGCAGTTATACCACTAATTGAAATGTCTCCACAGTAAGTGAAAGATAGCAAAGACATAAATAAAGATGATATTGCAATGATAATATATAAAATGTGTATCTACCCTAGGTCAGAAAACAGCCCCCCCAAAGACTAAAAGCCTGACTACCAAACAGAATGCCTAAAAATATCCTTATTTGAAGCCATCCAGTATAATTAGAATTGCTTATATTCTGATTGTAGAAGAAAATTATTATTGATAAATTATATCCACATGTGGATTTAAAAAATTATTTGGATTATTACAAAGCATTTAAAATGACTATATCTCTAAGCTATTCTAGTGAGAAAATTGTATTATGCTTTGAGTTCCAACTGCCAGATTATTATCATGCTGCTGTCTTTGTGCACACACTGCTTTAATATGGAACATAAACCAAGTACCAATGGTTTTTTTAGATAAAAAAAGAGAAAAATCTATGTTGTGATTATTTCTGTTCAAATGGAGTGTTTTAAAACAAACAAAAAAATATATGATTTATTTCAACTCCATTATGATGCACTTCAGAGCCTAAAATTTCAACTTTCTTTTTGACCTTCTCATAAATAAGAGAATTATTGTCCCATAGCTATTGGATCTTTAAAACTAGATGGATGGAAGCTAGATGTAATGTGGTGATTCTTTTGTAGTGTACACAAAAAGCAAATTATGTTCTACACCTGAAACTAATATAATGTTATATACCAATTTACCTCAATAAAAATCTACTAATAAAATAAGATGATTTTGTACAAGTGAAAAAACAATTAGAACGATCACAAAATATGAGCATGTTTAATTTTATACAGAATCGGAGCTAGAAAAAAATGTTTGTAACTCACACTTTTTACAATTATATTTGGCATTCAAGATAAGCCTGATCATAATTTCTACCTTATTTGATGTTACATGTTTGGATCGATCCACCTAGAAGATATTAATATATGATTCAAATAATACAAACATAATTAAGCAGCGTGACAAACTCCAACTATGCCTAGGTCGCTTGGAGACCCACCAAATTTTTGAAAAATGTGTTTAACCTACCATCTTTTCAAGAAGGGAGTCCGATGCATGAATAAGGAGTAGGCAATGAACATTTTACGACAATATTAAAATGATCATGTACTCATATGCAACTCAGTCACAGCGAGTTCTCCGTTTTTCTTCAAAAATGTCAATAAAAATGTTATTGCTTTTAGCATAATGTAACTGATTTTCGTATTTCGTCTCTCTACGCCTTTTAAATGATGTTTGTTTCTGACAGAAGCCAAAGCACAGAAATAGTAATGCAAGATGTCCACAGGAAACGTGCTAACATAAATCAATGAATTCAATAGCCATTTAATTACTATAGGCTAGTACAGTATTTGGAATTTTTTTTTCTCAAACATATTAGAAGTCCTTTTAGTGAAATTCCTAGTCACAGTGTCAGGTAAAAAGGCACGTAACATATCTGTTAATGGATTTGTAGTGAAAAAATTTAACTTCAAACAGAGAAAACCTTACCACTCAGCCATAAACCACATCATCTACCTGATTTCGTGATGTAATATAGAAGGGAAACTGTGGGATGTTTATTGCAGCCCTTCAACCTCAGTGGAGATGGGGGTCAAAGGGGGAAACGGGTAAACTCAAACTGTAGCATCATCTTCATAAATGAAAGAAAATGAACTGAGGCTTCCAAATAGATATAGCACCTGCTCTCTAGTGCTACAATACACAAAAATGCAGTGTCCACTGAAGTAGCATTTTAGGTTTGTAATCTTACAGATCGATGTTTACAATTTATTTGTGGAGAACATCCTATAAAAGAAATCCCAATAAAGACCTCCATATACTAAATTGCTTAAGATTATTAAATTTATAGAGATTCCCAAATATAGTAATGTGATACACTTTATACTATAGTTTTTTTTCACCATATGAATGAGTCAAGCAAAACTAATAACAAATATTTTTTTAGGTATACAACCAACATAGTTAAGACAGCTATTTTAAGAATGCTATTAAAAGTGCCCTTTGTATTTGAGTAATTATAATGGATAATTTTGATAATTCATTTTTATTTTTCGGCCAATATTTAAGTTAACTTAGAGTTACTGGTACTCTCCAATTCATTCATTTATCAATCATGAATTTATTTTAATAAGAAATATCAATTGAACACATTCTATGTGCCAAAAATTAACAGAATAAAGATGTTAATAGACTGAATTGTGATACCCTAACATTCATATGTTGAAGCCCTGTCTCCCTCTGATCTAGAATGTGACAGTATTAGGAGATAGGGCCTTCCTTTAAATTAAAATGAGGCTGTTAGAGTGGGCTCTAAATCCAACCTGACCAGTGTCCTTATAAGAAGAAGAAATTTGGACACACAGAAAGACGCCAGCGATGTGTGGGCACAGAAGAAAGGCCATGTGAGGACACAGTGAGAAGGTGGCCATCTGCGAGCCAAGGAAAGAGGCCTCAGAAGAAGCCAACCCTGATGATATCTTGATCTTGGATTTCTAGCCTTCAGAACTATGAGTAAGTAAATGTCTGCTGTTTAAACCTCGCTGTCTGTGGTATTTTCTTATGGCAGCCTGAGCAGACTAAGACAAAAGGCAGATTTAAGAGAGGTTTATTCTATGGCATCACAAAATACCTCACATAACTAAAGCTGTTAAAGATGTACTTATCACAGTGAGGAAATCTTAGAGAATACGTTTCAATTGCCAGAGTAAAATTATTCAAGTAGAGTAGATTTTTTAAATACTTAATGGTGACTCAACTTCCCAAATACAAATTTTATCATTTTACATCTGTCTTTCATGTGGGGAAGATAAAAGTGTCTAGAGCCAAACACCTTGGATTCTCAGGTCAGGCAACGGGATTACCAACATGCACATGTCTTTTCAAATTATAAAAACATTTTAAATACGTAACTTTCTAGTAATAATTTTGCCAATTTTTTGAGAGATTGGTATTATTACACACACACACACACACACACACACACACACACACACACACCCTCAATGAAATCAAGCGACTTTTCCAGGAAATTTATGGCTAAATTATTTAATCTTTCGCCAAGAAAATAATCATACCAATCCCTTAAAGAATTGCTATGAATATTGTACAAAATTACCTACTGGAAAGCAGTTTTCATTTAACTGAGTTATATAAATATTGGTGGTTATTTACATTTTGCTTGATCATAGTATTTGTATCTAATCTTCTAAGAACTACCAAGGATCATCTATTTTACCTTACTCACTCTAGAAAGGTGCTTATTAAATCTTTACAAACAGATGTTTAAGCTTCAAGTATATTCTTCTTTCAAGATTTCCAACACAAGAGAGCATACACACCTTTTAGTAACACATTCCACTGCTTAAAGCTATCTTACTCTCAGAAAACTCTCAATGAACTGAATCTAAGTCACTTCCGTTACAAAGTGGGCATGGTGCTTTTTACTAATCTCAGTAAAATTAGATAAGTAAATCAGAAATTGCTTGTATGTGTCTACCCTCAAGCAGATTTTCACAATGCCACGTGCACAAATATAAATAGATGTACACAGTGCTTGAATTTATGGATTTATTTGTTCTTGCTTAGAAATATTGGCCCTAATTTGAATTACAAACTATGGAGTTAAGCAACTGGAAGATTATCAGTCAGCTCTATAATCACTCAAAGATGCTGGTTCCTATCATTGCCTGAAAGGTTGCAACCAAATTGTTACACAAGTGTAAAGGGTTGGATTGAGTGGGATTGACAGGAAGCTAAATAGCTTTCTTAAAGAATCACTCAGCACATTAAGATTAGAAACCTCTTCCCTAGAGGAAAAAAAATCAGTGTTTGTCTGAGTTTCCACTTAAGTACATGTATCCCTTGAGCGTTTAAAAGTAATGCATATTTTTAAAGCTAGGTAAACAATGCACACACAAATAAAAAATGAATTCTAACATCTCATGAAATGATTGGAAGAAATTAATTTTTATTTATGTCCTCATTTTGTCTCAGCAGTAAAAGCGAAAGGTCAGTTCACTTACTCGGACACATTTTCATGGGCTACATCACAACTCCATTATCATTTATGCTCAGATTTGAAATGGGGAGGATTTTTCAATCCCGCTGAATTCACACTGCACATTGTTACACATGCCAAGGACATTTCTCATCTTCGTTCTTTTGTTT